TGCCAGTAAGCATAGGCTGTCATATTTCACCATCTCACACGATCACCAGAATCCTGGATCAGTTCAGTGTGTTTGTCCATTTGGCCAGACCATCAAGGTATTTATCTCTTTGCCTTCCTCTTGCTCTCTTTCCATCAATCTTGCCAGTTGATGCAATTTTCTCAAGTTCACATTCTTTTCAAAACATCTTTACAAAACATTGACTATATCTAATTGTTCTAGTAAGTTTACGACTGTCAACTCCTCTCCTTTGAGGACTGCTTCTTTTTTTTTTTTAAATATCCTTGCATATTCTTTGCATTTTTCTCAGAAATCACATCTCCGCTGTGAGTAAATGTTGATTAGCTTGTTTACTTATTGTCCATGTTTCACATGCATATAACAACACAGGTTCTACAAAGCAATTCAACACTTTTTCTCACTGCAATTGACACCTTTTTGTTAGTGAGAATCTTTTTCATCTTACTGAATCTCACTTTTGCCTTGAGATTCTTTTTCTAATTTTTGCAAGGTATCTTCCATCAGATGTTACGATTGTTCCTAAATTGTTGTATCTATTAACTTGCTTAAAAGTTTTACCATTTGCGTGGATTTCACACACTGGCATTTTCTTTTTCTTGATGATGATCATAATTTCAGTTTTCTCACAATTTAATTCCAAAACTAGTTTTTCACAGTATTAGCCCACACACACAAATTACATATGAGAACCGGTAAAGAGGGTCAGTGAGAGAAAAATGCAAACATGAATGAGACAATTCCTAACACGATTAACACTTTACGATGAATCATCAATGTAATCAGAGGAGACACCATCAGAAATAATATCAGGAAAGAGACTGGGTCAGAACTGGTCCTAAACTACACCAAAAAACACAATATCAAATGGTTTGGACATTTACCAAGGCAACCACCAGATAGAGCATTACAGGGAGAGCCCTGTTGCTTGGACATAATGGAAACATTCCAGAGGTTGACCATGCCAGTGATGGATAGATGGAATCTCCAAGACCATAAATACCAGCATCTATATAGCACATATCAAAGCTCCTATCCGATTCCTCTTCAAAACCTGAGGCAGTAAGGCAGACTGGAGGAGAAGGAGAGGAGAAGAAGAAAAGGAGAAGAAAAAGAAGAGAAGAAGAAGAAGAGAAGGAGAAGAAGAGAAGAAGAAGAAGAGAAGAAGAGGAGGAGAAGAAGAGGAAAAAAAAGAAGAAGAGGAGAAGAAGAGAAGAAGAAGAGGAGAAGAAGAGAAGAAGAAGAGGAGGGGAAGAAGAGAAGAAGAAGAGGAGGAGAAGAAGAAGAGGAGGAGAAGAAGAGGAGGGGAAGAAGAGGAGAAGAAGAAGAAGAGGAGGGGAAGAGGAGAAGAAGAAGAGGGGAAAAAGAGGAGAAGAAGAGGAAGAGAAGAGGAGGAGGAGAAGAAGAAGAGAAGAAGAGTTCTCCTTGATGTTCAGGTCTTGCCGGATGTCAGCATTTTTCCTCTTCTTGGTCCGTGTTCTATGAATTTTTTGTAGCATTACAGTTCAAAAGCTCAGTATTTCATCTTCAAAGACTGAGAATCCATGACTCACATCCATAAAATAATAGTCATAAACTTTTCTCAATTTTTATCTCCACCACTGCTGGTTCCAAGGCCGGATGAGAAAGAAGTAGGGCTGGGCATGGGGCCAGCTCTCCCACCCTGGAAATAACTTTGGTACAGAAATGTACAGGAGAAGAGAACAGAGGAACAGACTGCAAGCCCTATGTGTCACAAAACGGCACAACCAGACGATGATAATGAATACATTACTAGCTAACAAGTTACTAATAAATTACTAACAGATCAGAAAAACAATCAAACGGTTACTGGTACCATTGGACCTCTTTGTTTGCTGCTGAAGATGAGGACTGAGCACTTATGGGAGTGTCCCGAGTGCTGTGATGTAGATTCTTAATTAAACATTCGATATTCAGATCGGGAGGAAACAAAAGCAATTTACATTCTATAAAATTGATACAACTCTTGAGGTGTAACAACTAGGCATGATACACTCCCACTGAAAGAAGAGTGAGAGACGAGCAAGTAAATATAATAATAAATATTTAGTTTTATATGTTTTTTTATGGCCAGAATGTTCGTTACAGCAAAGTTCAATCCTGTCAAATAAATACACAAAGATAAAAATAGATACTACAATAATTACACAGATACGCAAACATCTCTCTCCTTTATATATGTAAATATATGTATATGTATGTATATGTGTGTGTGTGTGTGTGTGTGTATATATATATATATATATATATATATATATATATATATATATATATATATATATATATATCTGCATTTCGCAATGGCAGTCTACAGAAATGATGGTTGAAGTCACTAAGTGTCGAATTTTCAGGGCTGTTATTCATTTGCAACATGCCAAATGTACACTTGTGAATCTTTACTCCAGATAGTTCAAAATGAAGTATTACTTTTCACTAACTAGACTATTTTTCAGAGATCTCAGTGTCATGAGATTTTTTTGGGGTTAATCCGGGTGAAGAAAGGGGAAAGGAACACACTGTGAGAACTAGAATGATCTATGGTGAAAGAATCAGAGGTAGATCAAGAGAAACATCGGTGGGCAGACTTAGATGACAAAATTGATGAATGTCATCAACAGAAATGATACAGAGGTGAAATGGATGGATATCATCACAAGAAATGATGCTGGAATGTCTAAGATAATGAAATTGGTGAATTTTATCAAGAAAATGATGGTGGACAGTGTAAGACAATGAAATGGATGAATATCATCAACAAAAATTATGCTGTGCTGTCTGAGATGATAACATGGATGAATATCATCAATAGCAATAATTTGCAACATTAAAGATAAAGATCTGTGGAGAGTCACAAACGCCAATATCATCTAGCAAACCATACGATGATCACGATGCTTCTTTTTATATATTTTCTCTTCAGTTTACAAGAATAGCTTGCTTTTTCTCTTCCTTCCAGTTACCTAATTGAGATATAAGGATCTTCTGTGTGCTCTGCCTAATACATTGTATAAATTGATTACAGTCTGAGGTGAATGGCACTGCAAGGAGTTACCAGGGGATCTGGCCGATGCTCAACACTCAGGGGAAGGACGAGATGGATATACAATCAAAAGGTTACTTGTACCATTGGAACTGGAACTCTTCGCTTGCTGCTGAAGATGGGGACTGAGCATTTATGGGAGTGTCCCGAGTGCTGTGATGTTGATTCTTAGTTCAACATCCAAACTGACATTTGTTTCTTTAAAGCTCTTCTTGATTCTATTTTTCAATCTTTGGGTGGTCCTCTCCTTGTTCTGAGTTTGTTATATTTCTTCAGCATGGCTTTCTGTGGCAGCTGGTACCAGGACATTCCCATCAGATGACCAAACCATCTCATATATTGCTCTTTAATATCTTCTACTTCCTAGCATTCAAATGCTGTGATCTCTGGCGAAATGTTCTGGACATTTGTCTTCTTATGGACATTGTGCCTATTAATTAACTGTTTCACTGACCAAGGACATCACTACCATCAGTTTGAGGTTGTCTCCAGTTGTCGTTTCTCTACATGATCTCAGTAAATCTCATTTGTAACATCTATCATTTTCAAATGCCTCGTTGTTTCACGTGAGTTCAAGTAAAGACATCAAGGGTCCCTTTCCTTCCTTTGGTGTATCTGCCATAGAATACTAGACCTACATTTTTATTTACTGACCAGCGGCCACACAATGGGTGACATCACATGGCCTTTACTTCTCAGGGAGGGGGGCAGAATTGGGAATTAGACCCACTGCCTTCTTTCAAACATGTCGTAACGGTTGACTAAATCAGGAGTTCCCTTCGAAGTCAGAGTGCCTCTGCCTGAGAAGCAAGGAACTAATAGTCTGCATTAAAATAAGCCAGATCTATAAAACGTTTATGCACGCAAAACTCAAGTTCTAAAACTGGACTTAAGCCCACAAGTGAATGAACAACCTAACCTTCCATAGTTAACAGCCACTGAACATAAAGAAGAAGGGTACAGCCAAAGTCACTTTTAAAATTAATCTGTCTAGATGCGGATTTGAACCTTCGACCTTTAGACCAGCAGACTAGTGTATAGCTATTATTCTACCTCAGCTCCCAGCTGTTTAATGTGACCATTAATTTTCAATTTGTTCATGGATTATCATTTTCCTTATACCTGAGCTGTCTTAACAGCATATGAGCCCCTTGGACAAACCAGTGTGCTGAGGCCCTTGCTGCAACCACTCACAGGAATGACATTTTTATTTAAGGCAAGTGACTTGACATACATATGAGGTCCCTAAGCTCATGAGGCCCCGGGTATGTGCTCAGTGGGCCCATACTTTAAGACCGCCCTGTTTTTATACAAGTACTAATCAACAGATATCAATGCCTCAAAGGTTTTCAAATATTATTTAATATGTAATAAATCAATACAAAATAAAGTTACAAAAATGTAATTCCAACATAGATATTTTCAATATTCTTTTGTAAAGAATACAAAACACAATGTGTAATCAAATTCCTGATTAAGATAACAAAACAAAATAATAATATTGACACTTTCTGATAAACCAACTTTGCACTTGTTCAAATACCCTAACAAACTTTTTCTCATACAAACATAACAGAATAATTTGCACACCAAGTTTACAGAAAAAAAAAATTATAAAGCAACAACTATACACTCAAATAAATTCTCATGAAAACTATACAATAACTTCGAATAGAACAACTTTTGACTCATTCTAATTCTCATACAAGCACTACAGATTATCATACCAAGTCAACAGAATAAATTATAAAGCAACAACTTTACATTCAATGTAACTCTCATGAAAACTATAAAAAAAACCTATAAGAGAACAACTTTCTACTCATTCTAATTCTTATACAAACTCCGAAAAAAAAAAAAGAAAAAAAACATAAGTCACAGATACTTTCTCCAGGTGAATGACAAAAATGTCAATTGGTTGTTAGTCAATTTTGAACTGTGGGTACGGTCTAGGGTCTTCATTCCAAGCCACATAAATAAACATGCCCAGGATGATATGTACTACGGCTATGGCCACAACTGCTGCGTAAAAGTAACTGCTCTGATGCACCATGCCGAAAAATCCTGAAAATGAAAAATACAATTTTACATTAATGCACTGTGTCATGGAATCATGAAAATGAAAGATACAATTTTACATTAATGCAATCTGCCAACAAAAAATCTTAAAAATGAAAAATACAATTTTACAATAATGCACTATGGAATCATGAAAATGAAAGTGCAAGATACAATGATACGTTCATGCACCCAGTTAAAAAAAAAAAAATGCTTAAAAACCTTGGGCAGTCAAAAAAGCAACCAACGGGTTTTGAAAGAGGCGGGAGCCTGAAGACAACTTATCACAGACATCAGAAGCAGAAAGTCATCCTTTTTTGGCCATGTTATGAGAAGAAGTAAAATGGAACATGTTGTGACCATTGGAAAGATCTGTGGAAGGAAAGATAGAAGAAGACAACGAAAGAGGATTCTTGACAGTCTTGTTGCATGGCATAGAGTTGTGTCAGCACACGAACTGATACACGCTGCAGGTGATCATAGATTGTGGAGAGGCCCGATCGTCTACGCCAGTCAGCAAGGCACCTGATGATGATGTTTTTAATCTCTTCATTATCGATTATAATATGGGACTGGTGTGCTTATTTATTGGGGACATTTTTTTTTTTCCACTTCAGAAATAGAGTTTCTTCTTCACTGGACTTTTTGAGTCAGAAATAATTTTCCCCCGCCCTGTACACTGTTAGAAAGGAGAACTGTTTCATCTACATATCTGAGTTCTGGGATAGGTCTGCCTCTCATTGTGAGTGGAAACAATGAGGCTACAAACAATATATTGCTCAATTTACTTCTTCTTCTTCTTCTCTTCCACCTTGTACCTCATTGAAGTGTCGGGGAGAGATGCAACGTTCGTTGATGAGCTCTGTCAAGAGCACTGTTAAGACTGATGTTCATTTCTGTAAGGCTGTTCTTAATGCCATCACTCAATCTTTTCCGAGGTCTTTCACTCGCCCTATACCTGTTGTAACGTTTTAGTGTGACTCGCTGTGGCAGATAGTACCAGGGCATTCTTGTTAGGTGGCTCAATTTACTGCCTGGCATATTTCATTAAGGGCATACTACATCATTTACATAAAAAAGAAGCACATAAACGGAATCCTGTTTATTTTTAACCATGATGCCCCGAAAAGCCGCAAAACACACTTCCAGTAGGGACCAATTTTCCATAAATGTCACTTTTCTACAGTGACTTGTTTACAGGCGTAGTTTATGCAACTGCACTCATATTTATAAGGTCAGGATGTGAATATATTAACTATAAATAGCATTAGTGGCATTAGGGGAGGGGCGGATCGTTCAAAACTAATGTGTTTATTTAAAACCAAGTTGACATTTAATATTTCCATAGGCCTCAGTGATAGAGGTCATGGGTCAGGACATAGGTCACCTGAAATATATTTATTTTGGCTCTGGTAATGTAATGCTTCATTCTGTTCATGTTTATTGATTACCCCTTTATATATTTTTGCGTTACTAGGGCAAAAGGGTTGCAAAAAAAAAAAAAAAAACCAAAAAAAAGAAACCACTCACCCTCAAATATTACAGACTTGCTGAAGAAATATGAAAATATGGGGAGGAACACCATCATCAGAGTAAACACCAGCATTGTCTTCATCACCGTGCTTGATGCAATTGGCGGCGCCATGTTAATTTATCACTGTGGAAGCTGGTCAATTTACCCTGTGAGGAAATAATTAAATGTCATCACTGCTAGAAATATTTTCAAATATTTTAGAAATAGTGCTCATTTTCCCTAGATTTATTACAACCACTACGGTTTTTTGTAGTTAGAAATGTAGACATTCCAGTGCTTGTACTGAATATTTTGATGCTTTTGATAATGTTATTACTTAATGTGTGAATGAAATGATGTAAGAATGGAGGGTTACCTCGAAGGACAGAATGTCAAATGGGCCTGCATGCCCAATTCTTAACCCTTTAAAAATAAAGTTTGTTCGTTAGTTAGTCGACAGATTATTCTCATTGCACAGTGAATCATTCGATCCATAAGCACTTGGATCCCCCCCCCTCCCCCTTCAGTAAAACCTGAAGCTTGTAACTCCAATCCTGTGTTGGTTTCTTATTCTTCTTTGGCTTCCTGCAGAGTGATATTGTCTGGCCAAACTCCTTCTAACATGCTATTCTTGCAGTCTGGCCATGGTTGCAAACTGATAGTCATCACTTGGTTCTTGCAAACATCTTATATCTCGTACAGTATATCAGCCTGTTCCACGGCATGCCTGCCTTCTACAGTAGTTTAAATGTAAGTCTATTGGCTTGCTTACTTCCTTGCATGCCAGGGTTTAAATATGAACTGGGCAGATTTTAAAAAAAACAAAATGATACTGATTTCGATACTGATCTAGTCTAACCCCCCAGTTATGGCCCCTGGTACACCACACGGGGGGAGGAGGGGGGAGAGGGGGGGGTATTTATTCCTCAGCCGACACGTGTAGTAATTCTGCTGAGAAACAACCGACCCGGCTGCTTCGAGATACCAGCTAAGTGATTTTGTGTATCTATGTAGTATTGTTTCATTTGTATGTGCTGATGAAGGCTCAACAGCCGCAACGTTCACGTTTTGTTTGTATTTGTTATATTGTGAAGCTTGCTAATATTCTTTTTATTCGGTTTTATAGCTTTTTCTTGATCTAGTCTAAAACTGTTACCAGGCAATGTCCTGGGACAGTCTTTCGCCAGCTGCTTGGTGAACAATCCGCAACATTGGTGGTGTTATTATGTGATTTAAATTGATCGCGTGTGCAACTGTTGATGACTTCTGCTACAATTTATGATGAACTGCATTTCTAACGTTGGACTGTTTGTGTTAGCACATCAGATAGCTACCGTTTGCTTTTAATGGTGTGTATGCTAGATATGCTGAGACAGCAGTGTGTCAATCTTTCCACAAGGGACTGATAAACATTGTGTGTTTTTCGTTGGCACAGGAGCAGAGCAACTATGGGGTGACCCGTTTGCTATAAAGCTAAAACTAAGATTACCAAAACAATCCATTCTTGTCTGAGAAAGCCAACCTGAACTGCCTTAAGCATATTATTTGAGTCACTCAGTATGCTTACTTGTGGGAACTCTTGAGCACTCAGCCATGCAAATACCCTTGTTACAAACACAAGTTCCATTGTGAGGTTTCTTGCTGCAACAGCAAAGACATCATTCATCTCCTCAGTGGTTCCCACTTTTTAAGCTCATCATGAATGCGATTCACTTTTCTCAAATTACTGACCCCTTCATGTAAACTACAACACTAATTTCATCTGCGTTCTCATCAATCAATGTTCTGATTAAACATGTCGGCATTACCAGGAATCTGAGGAGTTGCAGTGGCATAACATCTAGACGATCAGGTGCGGATCAAAAAGTAGTAGGTTCACTCCCTGGCGGAGCCAGACTTTTTTTTCAAAAATGACCTTGACCCCCAGGTCGACCCAGCCTTGAGTGGGTACCGGGAAGTAAAGGCGGCTGGCATGATCCTAACCACATCACCAATCTTGTGCTGTTTGGTCTATAAATATAAAGTTCTAGCCCTATATGCCTAAAGGCATGAAAAGAGTCCTTTACTTGTTTTTTTACTTATACCAGATACCAGGAATATGAATATGTCCTTTGTAGTTTCCATCAAGTGCAATACAGACTAAAGTGTTAATGTTTGGTGCAACAAAAATTCATTTTCAGGAAGGCAAGCAAACCTGTTGGATGGCAATATCAGCATGACCCATCTAAGACTGGCCTCTTTTTAGTCTTTTTCTTTGGGGTGAGGGTAATGAATCAGGTCGACCCAGTCAGTCTAAAATCGGTATAAGGAAGGCATGTCCTGTGAAGCAAAGGCTGGCTAGAGTGGTGGTGGTCTTGTCACTCATCGAGTGCATAAATTCAGATAGTCGATTCGTGCAGTAATTCAATCACTAATTGACTATGACAATATGTTCAGTCACTATGACTATTGACAAAATCAAAATGGTGAAAATGAATGAGTTGTTTGTGTTTTCGGAATGACTCTGGACACTACGTCAAACAATGAGTGCTCTAATTTCCACCACAGCAGGCGTCCCGTAGTTAATTAAATCTACAAAAAATATTAGCCTAGCATCATATGTTCAAGACAACACTGGCATAACTTACGAAGTGCTTGTTATACAGATGAAATGGACATGAACTCCACGTCCGTTCACCTGACTCTGACTGATGCTGGATACTACTTCTCCTCACAACTCTTTCTGATCTTTCACACAAACGATCTACAGGGGATTTCCGGGTTAGTCTATGGGCCAAAAATAATGAGAAACGTTGACTAAACGCACTCTCTGTTAATAATGTAGTCTAGAAAAAAAAATAGACGAAAAACATGGTACTGAAATATAATAACAATCTATTGGCATCTTCAGAACGACACTACAGGATTCAGCAGAGGGTGGCCAACAAAAATATACATCCCAAATTTTGCTGACTTCATGGGCCTCAGAAATGAACCCTTCAAATCAAAGTTATCTAAAATGATAATTTGTGAAAAAGAATATACATTCAAAAATTAAAAATAAAATATAATTTCAGCGTGACAAGAAGCATCTCAATATTTGCTGCAGAACTGGTTGCCGTTCTGAAGCTGCTGCTGAAGATGAGGACGGAGCGCTTATTGGGGTGTCCCCAGAGCCATGATGTCGATTCTTAATTCAATATTCAAGCCCCCAAAATGGTGTGTGATAACACCCCCCCCCCCTTTTTTTTCCGGCCTCGAAGGCTGACTGTTTTAACGGACTCCCTATCTACGGTGGTTGTTTTTTAAAAATACCAAGATATATAGTAGAAATTACATCAGAGAGGAAATATTCTTGGCTACAATTTATCTCAAAACAAGAGAATGCTCAGTACTAATTATGTGGGTACCAGCTTATATGGGGAATGAAAGGACAGACAAGAACAGAAAGGACAAGCACAACGAAAGGCAGAACAAATTTTGAAAAAACAACACATTTAGAGATAAGTCAGAATGATTTTAAATCAATATTTTAAAAATAAAATAATAATTATACCAGAATAATGAACAGGAATGTAAAAAGGGAACTTATTTTCAGCTTAAGGGAAGACATGCCTACAAATAGTTAGAGGTTCTAACTAGAAGATGTAAAATAGCGGGTGAATTAAAAATTACCTCGCAATAAGAAATTACCGAGGCTGTAATTTGGGTTGGCTTATTTCACTTTTGTCGGCGTCTGTGTCTTAGGCGTTTGCCAACGCGCTTTGTAATCCAGGGTGCCGGGTTCGATCCCAGCTGCAGGCCTACTGTCTTGCGTTGGTTTCGACAGTGGCATAGAGAAGCCGACCGTCAAGAAGCAATGGCAAACTACTGGACGTAAATTTTCCTAGAAAAACCACAACAGCCACACACACACGCAAATGCTGGGGTTGGTTCTGCAACGTCATATAAAGGATACGCAACTAACTATTTTACTATAACAGAAGGCAAGAATGTCAGGTGCATAGTGATACTGAACATTGTTTACGCTACTGTAAGAAATATAAACTCCAAAGGACTACCCTAAGTGAATAAATGATCCAATGCAATAAGCATAGAACAATTGGTTATTGCAGCGGATCATTTTTTCATTTAGGGGAAGTCCTTTGTAGTTCATATTTCTTACCAATGATCTCGTCATCCCCTTGTGGGAAGCAATTTTTATTTTGAAGCCTCACCCAGGCTTTTGCAGGGGGGGGGGGGGGGGCTAAATATAGCCGATCATGAAATATGGCCTAACAGCTGAACGGGGTTTCCGGGACCTCTCCACGAGTGATACTTATCCTCATGGTGGTACTTTGTGTCACGGGGTGTTTATCGCTTGTGTGATGTACTGGTGGGGTACAACTTATATACATACATACGTACGGCATTTGGAAACGCCTAGGAGTAGATCATTCTAGAGAACTTCAGGAAAAGATTAGACAGTATAGCGCAAGAACACGGATTAGCAAATGAGATAAGAGACAGAAAAATTAAATTCCAATCACTTAAAATATCTGCAAAGATAGTGTGGGCTCCGGGGCTCCATTGTGGGAAAAAACAAGAACAGACCCTCTGCCTCCGCATGCAGTAGGAATCGACTAACTGGGAGCATCCTTAGAAGCCCGTGTACATCTGCTTAAGAAGCAAGGAAGTAACAGTTTGCATACAAATAAGATACGTGAAAGGTATGTGCACGCAACACCCAGGTTCTGAAAGAGATTGCGTGGGCGAGCACCCACAACTTTCAGCCCGAGTTAACAGTCTGAGGCTGCTAAGAAAAATGAGAACATTTTATGAAATAGCAAATGGTCGTGTAGTTGATTGTTTGGAGCTTAAAGAGTTGGGAAATTCATTTTTGAAACAACAAACAATCGTGTAATGGATTGTTTGGAGCTGAAAGAGTTGAGAAATTGATAATTTGATAAGCAAATTAATCCATCACAAGCTCTGTAATACTACTTTCTTACTAGTGTTGTGCTACAAATAGCAGATTTGGATAAAGAGAACGAAAAATTCAAAACACCTCGTTAAATTGAATTAAAAAAAACAAAAACAAGTGAAATGGTTTGGCCATTTACGTCGTACGACAACAAGCAATGATATACAAACCCAGTGGGAATATAAAGAGA